CAGTGCATCTCTCAGGCCCTGGAGATCCGGAGGATTGATTGGGGGCCCTGGCCGAAGACTGGTGTAGCGGGGAAACAACTCCTCCAGGGCTTGAGCTGAGCTAGATGGAGATAAGTCTTGCAGAAGCCGAGTGCTGAGCAAATCAGGCAGAGAATATCAGGGTGGGGAAAGCTTTCGAGAGACCCTAGTCCAACTGTGACATTTTACCAATGAGGAAATGGAAACTCAGAGCAAGAGACTTGCCCAGTCTTAGAGCTAGACAGCACTCAGGTTTTGTGATTCACTCTAGAGTGCTCCTTCCTGTATACCACAATCTCCGCAGTGAAAGTCTTAGTAGGAACAAGCCAACTCTTCTGGGGAAAGATGGACTAGAGGTTGGGAGGAAGCCAGGCAGTAGGCATCAGATGCCCATGTTCCTGAAGGAGTAAAGGAGGCAGAAGATGGGAAAGAAAGGATGAAAATGAAAACTAAAGCACAAGCACCTTAGGTCCCTAAGAGGTAGAAGAGCAGTAAAGAGAGAACTAAGGAAGAGAACAATTGGCTTTCCAAGAAAGCAAGCAAGCAAGTTAGCAGAACCCTAAAGGGAACTCACTTAAGTAAGGTGGCTGTGCTGTCACTGTCAAAGGAGTCTTCTTCTCGCCTTTCTGAGCCAGGACCTGGAGTGATGGGATCCCCTGCATGCAGCCACAGGGACCCCACAGCCAGGGTCAGGTAAGGATAAGAAGAGGGACCACTTAAAGGTGAAGGGAGGAGAGGGCCTTCCTTTCTCCTTCACCCGCTCCTCCAGTCCCTCTTCTTGGAGCCTTTCCTCCTAAACTCTCTTGTCTCCAATGTCTTTCTTTCTCCACCTTCTCCCACCCCTTAAATCTGGGTTCTTCTTTACAGAGAATGCATTAACTCACGATAGGCCGTAACACGTGAGGTTTGGAGCATGCTCTGGAGTTGACCTCGAACACTTTCCATCTCAAAGATATGCCTGGAACCATCCTAGGAAAAAGCAACATGAAAATCGGATGCAACCTGAATGATCTATGTTCTACCGACTGCCAGGGTACATGACATCTGGTACCCTCTAAAATTCAAGAGTTTTTACTCCAGAAAGCCAGAACTGGCTCAGCAAGGGTTGAAACTCAAACGTCTACAGAAGCCAGACAAGGGATGCCTGGGTGGCTCAATGGTTGAGCCTTCAGCCCAGGGCGTGATCCTGGAGACCTGGGATCGAGTCCTGCATTGGGCTTCCTGCAGGGAGCCTGCTTCTCCCTCTGCCTCTGCCTCTGTGTGTGTGTGTGTCTCTCATGAATAAATAAATAAAATCTTAAAAAAAAAGCCACACAAATAGTGTAAGTAAATTAACGGGGTACAATAAGACAAGCCTGATGAAGATCCTCGCCAACCAGAGAGTAAGTATCTTGTCTGAAGACTGTACAGTCCATGGCTATCGGTTTTTCAAACTCTGGAAGACCTATGCAGTCTTCAAATTGTTTACGACACTTTTTCTACCCAACGGTAATAACCAATCTCTAACATGTGACATCGATTAGACCGTATTTTAATGACTGACAATACCAAACTGAAATCATATAATCAAACTAGCTTTGAGCTGGAAGGATTTTAGCATATTTTGCTACCCCTAAGGACCTAGTTCCCCCCCTTGAGCTGAAGAAACCTTATCCTCACTTGGTGCCCAAGTCCCAATCAAAGCATAGCAATCTGTCCCATGGTGCAGGTGTCTCTGACCAAAAAACCCTAGAAGTTTCACCATTTTCCAGATTATGGCATCCCAGGACACTTCCTCCCTCATAAACATTTTGTTTCCAGGAACAAGCACAAAGAACACTCCATAGTTAAAAGGAATTGAAATCCAACAATAGGAGTTCAAATCTCAGAAAATTTTTTATCACCTCCAATTCCAAGATCCTAGAAGTCCCCAAGACACACCTCTCTCACCTTTTTCTTCAAATTGTTCTCCAATCCAACCGACAAGCTGTGACTCAGCTCTTGGGCCAAGCCATCTAACATTTCATGAGGAGGTGGAGAAGCGGTGGGGAGATACAGCTGGGCTCGGGCTGTTGCCTCCGCCTGACGACTGAGGTGCAAGGAGGCATAGAGCTGGGAGGTCACCTCAGAGGATACTTGGTTCAGCCCAGGGGCTTCGGATGGATCACTCAGAAGATCCTCAGCCCGGAGAGGTGAACCGGGTCTGGTAGCTGACGTTGCCATGAGTACAAGCAGGAGACAACTGCAGACAGCAGAGCTAGGAACACCTGGTCCTGCTTCAGGAGACCCCAGGCGGGGAAGTTCACGGAGAAAGATTTGGGAGAAAGGAGAAAGGCTCCAAGCCAAGAATCCTTGGTGAGTAACGGTAGGGAAGCTTTCTGGTTAGAGGAAAGGTTTCCAGCAGTTCCAGAGGCCATGGGAGAGGGCAAAAGCATTTCGTTCCACAGGGCCTGGGACCGGTGGAAAAGGAGGGTGAAGCAAGGAGGGGCTTGGGGACAGAAGACCGAGGGGGCGACAGCACTACTGCAGTTCCTTGGAGCACTGCAGGTTCTTAAATTCTCACACCCAGAACGTGCAAAGTGAAACGGACCCAAATCCAACAGGGGCCTGATTGCCCTCCAGTCGTCTTACTGGGCCCTCACCTGGTCCCGGTCTCGGAGAGGCAGGACCCTCACGCTCCCCACCTCCTCATGCCCCTCGCCTCGCCATGCACCTGTTCCAGCCACGGTCAACCCCCCTGTATGTCCCCTCTGACCGCTCCTGGCAAGAAAGCCATTGGGGGCTCCCCAGAACCCCTCCCTCCGTGCTATCCCAAGAGAAACTCTGTGAACACCCGGTCGCCTCCTCAGACCTCCCTGAAAAAGTCCGCCGCCCCCTAGCCCAGGCTGAGATCCTCTACCCCGACTACGCCCGGCCACTCCACGCCACACCGCCGGACCTCAGCGCCCCCCAGTCTGCCAAGGTGTGGACCAGGGATCTTCCGCCTCCCCTGAGCCCGGACCAAGGACCCCTCCACACCCACCCTCACCGCCTTCCCTACACTCAAAACCGTTGGCAGCCTCCCGCCCACCGTCCGCAGCCCCGCCTCGCCTGCCTCGATGACGTCACCAGCCCAGCGCTCTCCCTGGTCGGCGCCCAGACAGCTTCTGCAGCCCGGGAGCCCTAGACGCGCATGCGCGGCGCCACGGATTGGCTGAGGGAGGCACGGGCGGAACTATTGCCCCACCGCGGCAGTTTGAGGAGCCGACGCGGCGGGGCTCTGCGGAAACCGGAAGTATCTGGTGACGGGCCTCACGAGCAGTTCCGGTGAGTCCGGGGAAGGGGTTCCCGCCTGCTTGGGGGAGTCAGGGATCCGGCTCTGGAGCCCCCGGAGTGTGGGGGTCTCGCATCGAGGCTTACACCCTCTGCCCTGCAGATGACCGTTCACAACCTGTACCTGTTTGACCGGAATGGAGTGTGTCTTCATTACAGCGAGTGGCACCGCAAGAAGCAAGCGGGGATCCCCAAAGAGGAGGTGACGAGAGGGCCCCGCGCAATCCGGGTGACCTCGCATCTCCAAATGCATATAGCCCCAGCCCAGCCCTTCCTCTCCAAACCCCGTCTGGTTCCCAGCTCCATCCCGTCCCCTTCGACAACCCGAGCTAACTCTGCCCCTTTCCCTCTAGGAGTACAAGCTGATGTACGGGATGCTCTTCTCTATCCGCTCCTTTGTCAGCAAGATGTCCCCGCTAGACATGTACGCGGAGTCAGAGGGGATGTTGAGGGAAGGAGGGCTAGCCTTGGGAATTTGGGGGTTGGGGGAGACTGGAGTGGAAGAGACATTGGCACCCAAGAGAGGGAAAGGAGACAGAGAAAAGAGAGGCTGAGTCTGGAGCGAGAGCCCTGGAGCTGTGATGGGGAAGATCTGACAATAGAGAGGTTGGGTGCAGTGGCCAAATTGAGGGGTGAAGATGGGAGGTGTCTTTACTAAATCAAGCTCCTAGGAATGATATGTTTAGGGAGTCGTCCTAGACAGGATCAAAAGTATCTCTTTGGAAGAGATTATGCTCCTGTTCCTTAATGTCCTCATCTCTGCAGGAAGGACGGCTTCCTGGCCTTCCAAACTAGCCGTTACAAACTCCATTACTACGAGACGCCCACTGGGATCAAGGTGGTCATGAATACTGACTTGGGTGTCGGACCCATCCGAGATGTGCTGCATCATATCTACAGCGCGGTCAGTGCCAGCCCCTGGGACCCTTCCTTCCCCTAACAGCTGTGGTCACTTAGAGCCTCAAGACTCCTTGAGCTTCCCTGCCTTAATCTTATCGTAGCTCTGTTGAAGCCAAGAGTTCTCCTCGGGACTCTTGAGGTCCTGAAACACCACCACTTTCTCCTTAGGGAGAGCTTGCCTCCCAGCCCGTGATCCTTGTGTATTTGCACACCCCTGAGGTTACACTAGGTTTGGGGTTGAAAACAAGTGTCCAAAGCCTGGTTCTAACACCCTTCTTCTCCGTAGCTGTATGTGGAGCTGGTGGTGAAGAATCCCCTGTGCCCGCTGGGCCAAACTGTGCAAAGTGAGCTCTTCCGCTCCCGGCTGGACTCCTATGTCCGCTCTCTGCCTTTCTTCTCTGCCCGGGCTGGCTGAAGGAAGCATCCTACCTCACCCCTCAGGAGAATCCCTGTCTACCTGGGGCCATTCCTAACCTGTTTCATGTGAGGGCCCCCACTGCATGCCCCTCCACCCCCTCCAGCTCCCCAGCAGCCCTCCTGGGGCAATGGCCTACAGCCCACTCAGGTGCCCTCCCCGTCAGAGGAAGGAAGTGTACAGGAGTCCCTACACCTCCACACCAGGCCCTCTCCAGTTTTATCCCCTACCTGGTGCTGCAAAAGTACAGAATAAACTTTGTCACCCTCTGCAGCCTAAGTGTGTCACTTTGAGTGGTCGGTCGGGGTCCTGTCCCACTCACGAAGGCATGAACAAGGGTGGCCACATCCCCTGAGCCTGTAAAGAGGCTTTGTCCATGGGTTTCTCAAAGTGACAGATATTACTCAACTCACAGTGGGGTACGTCCAGATAAACCCATCATTAATTGAAAATATAAGTCAAAAATGCATTTAATGCACCTACCCTACCAAACATCATAGCTTAGCATTTTAGTATATGTGCTAGTATATGAGCACCATAGCTTAGCCTTAAATGTGCTCAGAATACTTATATTAATCTACAATTGGCCAGAATCATCTAACACAAAGCCTATTTTTATAATAAAGTGTTAAATAGATCATGTGACTTACTGAATACTGTACTGAAAGTAAAAAACAAAAAACCACACACAGTATGGCTGTAACTGTATCAGTGTTTTACACTCAACATCCCGTGGCTGACTGGGGGCTGAGACTCCCTGCCACTGCCCAGCGTCAGGAGGTATACAGTATATTGCTAGGCCAGAAAAAGATCAAAATGCAAAGGTTTCTACTGAATGCCTATTGCTTTTGCACCATCCAAAAAAAACGAAAAAATTGTAAGTCAAACAGTAAGTAGGGACCCTCTGCATTGACATTTTGGGGGAGAGGGGCTGTCCTGCGTTTTGTCCTGGCTGCTGATAGCACATCCTCGCCCCCCAGTCCCAGTCCTGATAATCAAAAATGTCGCCAGACCCTGCCACATGACCCCTAGGGGACAAAATCGCCCGGGACTGAAAACCACCGTGCTGGAGGAAGGTCGCTGGAGGAAGGCCGACCTGCCGCGGGTCCCAGGGGGGTGGGATAACCACCCTCCCAGGTTCTGCCCTCTAGGCTTCTCCTAGCGCACGGAATATTCAAGCTGCAGAGCCTTCGAAGGCGGGGTTTATGCAGATGAGCGGCAGGCTTGGCTGAGAGGTGGGTTTATGCAGATGAGGGGGCGGTGCCTACATGTTGATAATCTGGGCCGGCTGCCGCCGTGCTGGGAGCCTAGCGGTCCCGCTGCGGTCTGGACAGAGGTGGCATCTCTCTTCCACCACCGCCCCTCGTCCCCGGGTCCCTATCCTCCGAGGACCGCCCTCGACCTTCACCTTCACTTATTTTCCCGTCCTCTCCCCCCGCGCCAGGGACCCCGTATCCGAATATCTGCACTCGTGCCGCCCCCCGCGTTCCTCCCCTCCCGCCGCAAACCCCGCGACCTCCAGCAGCCCGCCCCCGCGGGCCCGATCCTGCCCCGCGGCTCCCGCCGCATCCCGCTCAGCCCTCCCGCTCTCCCGGGGCTTGCGCCACTACACCCCCCGCCGTCCGCACCGGGGCTTCCCGGTTCCCAGCTCCTCCCGCCCCCTTAGAGCCCCCTCCCCCGCCCTGGCCAGCTGACATGCAGGTGTCTATCGCGTGTACCGAGCAGAACCTTCGCAGCCGGAGCAGTGAGGACCGTCTGTGTGGACCCCGGCCGGGCCCCGGGGGCGGTAATGGCGGGCCGGTCGGCGGGGGGCATGGCAATCCTCCGGGGGGAGGAGGGTTGGGCCCCAAGGCCCGGGCCGCACTGGTCCCCCGACCCCCAGCGCCCCCTGGGGCCCTCCGAGAGAGCACCGGCCGAGGCACTGGCATGAAATACAGGTATGGGGGTGGCCAAGCAACCCACCCTAGCTGCTCCCCTTTCCTGACCCCTGAGGTTTCCTGGGATGCCGCCAGGACCCCCTCCATCTGCGTCCCAGCTCATTCTATCTCTTCTTCCCATCACCGGGGGACTCCCTTACTTACTCCCTCTGTCTCCGTGGATACCCCTGACTAGAAAATCAACTTTACCAAGGTTGACTGGTTCTGTCAGAGAGCTGGGGGATGCTCCTGAGCTTACCTCCTTATCCCCAGGAGGGCCAGGGATGCACAGATCTCCAGGCTGGGCCCCTTCTGGGATGGAGTGTCCTTGGGTCCGTGTCCTGGGAAGAGGCAGGGAGGAAACAGCTTCTCACTCTGGCCTGCTTGGGATACCTGACCCAGATACTGCCCTCACCTGCCCCAAGGGCCAGGTCTCCTGGGACCTTTCTTGGTAGGGAGGGGAAGGGGGCTCTGGAACATTAGACTCCATCTCTCAACCCCATGCTGAGGGACAGAGGCCTGGCGGAGAAGGTAGACTGAACTGTAACCGACTTTCTTAGAACCACTGGGCTCTCGGACTTGCATAAGGGAGGGAGGGAGGGGCTCCTGCTTGGGAGTGAGCAGAGGTCACTGATCTGACCTGACTCTGCCCCTTGAGAAATTAGATCTCCTTCATGTGTTGGCTCTGATTGAGAAACTGAGCCAACTCCCTGGGTGAGGAAGCCTGGGGAAGAGGGAGGAGGCTCTCTGGGTCAGAGACAGACTCCACAAGCCCGCAGGAGTGGAGGGAGTGGACAGAGGAAGAGGGAGAACTGGCCTTTCCCAACCCCAAACTCCACACACCCCAGAGGTGACTCAAACACAGATGAGACCCCACCAAAAGAAACCTGAGCCAGGTAGCACACCATCAATGTAATAGGAGGGAACAGAGGCGCTGGACATGAGCTCCAGAGTCATTTACTCATTCATTTGCACTATGGGCATAGCAATGACCAACTTGGGAGGCCCACGGGGTCTAGTTCCTTTGGACTGAGATACCAGAGGGCTTCTGATTCTGGAAGGAGAGGAGCTGGGGGCTGATAATCTCTGTCCTTAGTGGAGGCTCCACCCTTTCCTGCTGCTTCTGTATCCTGCAGGAACCTAGGAAAGTCTGGTCTTCGAGTATCCTGTCTTGGCCTAGGTAAGTTAGAAAGCAGAGGAATTGGGGGGGGGGGCATTCGTGGTTGTCCCCCCCCCCCCCATGGTCACATGCCTGGTTTCTTTCTCCCTTGCAGGCACCTGGGTCACATTTGGTTCTCAAATCTCAGATGAGGTATAAGTGATGGGATCTAGAAGCAGGGTGAGGGGGTGTGAGGGAACCAGAGAAGAGGGAAGTGGATTTGGAGACACGTTTGGACAAGGCACAGAGAATGGGGGGCCTGAGGCTGGTGCGTGGGGGAAAGGGATAATGTAGAGGTCAAGGCCAAAGTGCAGTGGGGCTGGAGTGCAGAGGGAGATCCCTGAGGGTCAGTGGCTGATCTTCATCTATTTCTGTCACCTCCCTAGACAGCAGAGGACGTGCTGACGGTGGCCTATGAGCATGGTGTAAACCTGTTTGACACGGCTGAAGTGTATGCAGCGGGGAAGTAAGGACCAGGGTGAAAGAGCCAAGTCATATTTGGAAAGCTTCTTATTTTCCCTCTAGAGAACCCTGGGAACTCTGGGAACACCAAGTTCTGACCCCTCAGCTGATAGGCCCCCAAGGCACTCTAGGAATTGTAAACCCAACATTGGTCCATCTTCAGTTTAGAGGACAAAGAGCATTCTGTGCAGTCAAAATAAAATAAAGCCAACAAATATATCCTGGGCATCAGTGATGTGCCACAATGTAAAGATTCCAAAGCTGAATTTTCAAACTTTGCATACCTACGGCTTCACGCTGGGTCCTCCCAAACCCAGCCAAAACCTAGGATGACCTTTCCCTGCTGCTTCTCTATCTGGCAAACTCTTCTGCTCATCTTCAACACTTGGCCCAATGTCAGCTCCTCCAAGAAGCCTTTGCCAAGAAGCCTCCCCAAATTGGTCATCACCCACCTCAGCTCCTAAACCATTTTTGCCCTCTGACACACCATCTGCCAATGATGGCTAATGTTGATTGGCTAATGTAGCCATGTTTGCTGCTCAACTGGGAGGGTCCTCCTTCCACAGAACTTGTCTTGCTCTTCCCCATGTCACCTAAGTACCTACACAGAGCAGAGCACAGAACAAGCACTGCTTGTGGAATGACAACACGCCCCCCACACACACACACCCCAAGCTCATAGTTGAAGTGGTTAAACAAACTGAAAACACAGGGAGATAGGTTAAGTAATAGGAAACCTTCAGTGACTATCCACCATAACAACCTGAGACCTGTCACATGTTAGCTCCTAAGTGCCAAAAAAATTGAGCCCATAGCAGCTATGCAAGGTGATGAGAAGGGCTGAGCACAGACTGTGACAATCAGAGAACATTTTCAATAAAAAGGGGCAGAATCCAAGCTAAGCTTTAGAGGATGTGTGGGATTTTGCAGAGACTCAAGAGAAGGGGAAGGGCAAGGTGGATGGTTGGAACCAGACTAGACAATGCAGTGTCCTCCCCCCTACATTCATCTGTCCCTATGTCCTCATATTCTAACCCTTTGGCCCCCCCGGAAGAGAGCTTGGTGTGTAGTTGAGGTACCATTTACCGAATGAATGAAAAGTTTATAGGACTTCACCCGAGTTCTGGGAACCCCTTATTTTGTCCAGGATGGGTCTGACAGCCCAATGGGTTCCTGGTGGATGGTCTGCTTTACGAGAGAGGAAATGGGTTGAAGAGGTGGGGAGGAGGGGAAGTAACTGATCCACCTTGGAGGGTCAGTGCTTCCTTGTCTTATTCCCAGGGCTGAAAGAACGCTAGGCAACATCCTCAAGAGCAAAGGATGGAGGTGAGACTGTGGTTGGAGGGGTCGCTGGGGAAATAGTCATCCCGAATTCCTTTTCTTGCTTTTCCTTTTGTCTCTTTTTCCAGGAGGTCAAGCTATGTCATCACCACCAAGATTTTTTGGGGAGGACAGTAAGTGGCTGCCACACTCTATTTGGGGAGAGCTACAGAAAATGTGTGAAAGCACATGGGAAAGGTGTGGGGACAGCTGCCACCCCAGGCGTGTGTCCTGCCCGTGAGGACCCATGCAATCCCAGCTTCTCGTAGCACCAGGCCAGCCCTGGTCCCCTATCTTTTCATTTTTCTGCAGGGCAGAAACGGAGCGAGGCCTGAGCCGCAAGCACATCATTGAGGGTGAGAGTTAGGGGCTAGGTACAGAAGCCAGAAGAGTTGGGAACACCCTCTGAACCTTTGCATTTGGAGGCTTTGAAGAGGGAGTCTGGGAGTTATGTGGCTGTGGCAAGGGGGCAATGTCTGAATTCTCAGCAAAGTGAATCTGAAGTATTGACCTTTCTCCCCCACCCCTGCCCCAGGCTTGCAAGGATCCCTGGACCGCCTCCAGCTGGGATACGTGGATATAGTCTTCACCAACCGTTCAGACCCCAGTAGTCCAATGGAGGGTAAAAGCAGCACCTCAACCCTGACTGTCCTTCAAAACGGCAGTTCCTCAAACATTCAGCAGGAAGCCAGCTCCTGCTCAGGAGGCCTCCCAGCCTCCACGGTGGAGGCTCAAGACCCCAGGTCTTGGACAGGGAGGGAGGTGAAGAGCAGATGCCCATCTCTCCGGTTACACAAAGATGCCTGGGGTCTTGGCATGGCCTGCAGTGGTCTACCGACCTGGTGCCCTGGATGCCAGGGGGGGGTCTGACAGGTTTGCTCTCTCTCTCCCATGTGCCTAGAGATTGTCCGAGCTATGACCTATGTCATTAACCAGGGCCTGGCCCTCTACTGGGGGACATCCCGATGGGGAGCTGCGGAAATCATGGTGAGTGTGCTGCCCCACATCCCCCTGCCCCACAACCGGTTCCTGCTTTTCACTCCAAAACCCACTCTACTGCGGGGGTAGGGAAGGGTGTGGAATAAAGTGGGAAAAGTGCTCTGACCCCCCCCCCATCTCTTCCCCGCCCCCAAACTAGGAGGCCTACTCCATGGCCAGACAGTTCAATCTGATTCCTCCTGTGTGTGAGCAAGCTGAGCACCATCTGTTTCAGAGAGAGAAGGTGGAGATGCAGCTGCCAGAGCTCTACCACAAGATCGGTTCGTAGCCCCCTATACCCTACCTTTCCTTTGGCTTATTGGTCACCTGGATCCCAATCTCCACAATCCAATTCATCTTAGGTGTTGGCTCAGTGACCTGGTCCCCTCTGTCCTGTGGCCTCATCACTAGCAAGTATGATGGGCGGGTCCCAGATACCTGCAGGGCCACCATCAAGGTGAGATTTGGGGGCTCAGGATGGCAGGAGGGGCTATCTGGGCAGCTCTCTCTCAGGGGGGAGTGCTGATTCTCCTTGGCCTGCAGGGCTACCAGTGGCTCAAGGACAAAGTACAGAGTGAGGGCGGCAAGAAGCAACAAGCCAAAGTCCTAGACCTTCTTCCCATTGCGCACCAGCTGGGCTGCACTGTGGCACAGCTTGCTATTGGTGAGACACTGCCAGCCCCTGGACCCTGCGGGGGTCCTCATCTCCTGCAGGGACACCCCCAAACCCAAGACGGATTTGTCCCTAGGGAGGACTTCCTCAGTGGCACTTCTGAAAGTGTGGGTGCTTGGTGTTCCCATCAATTCCCTTTCTTCTCTCCTCTGGCCCGCAGCATGGTGTCTCCGCAGCGAGGGTGTCAGCTCCGTTTTGCTGGGGGTGTCAAGTGCAGAGCAGCTGCTAGAACACCTGGGGGCCCTGCAGGTGAGCTAAGGACTCAGAGGCAGAGCCCATCCCGGTCCCCTTCCCCACGTCAGGGCCTCGCTGTCCAACCGGCATGGCCTTGGGACCTTCAACCACTACGTCCCAAGGAGGAGAGGTCCCGGGGGCGACAAGGCAAGACTCTGTTCCAGTCCCCCACTCCCCCACCCCCACCTCCGACCCCGCTGCGCTGCTCCGGGGCCCTGGAACCCCACGTCCTGTTTAGGAGAGAGCCAGCCTGTGCCGCTCTCTCCTTCAGGTGCTGAGCCAGCTGACGCCGCAGACGGTGATGGAGATAGATGGGCTCTTGGGGAACAAACCGCATACCAAGAAATAGTCCGTCGGGGGGCGCAGGCACCCGCAGCGGGGCCGCCTCACTCGCCCAGAGCGCTTCCCCGCGGCCACCCCGCCTCCCGCCGCGTCCCCCACGGCCCGCGGCCAGGGAGGCTCCACCCCTAACGAGTCCCGGCTTTCAGTAGCGATGCGCATGAACAAAGCCATATCCTCCCGCAGTGGGGCTCGAGATGAAAAGTAGTGCGCCGCCCCCCAACCCCCTCCTCCGCTGCGTTCCTCCAGGCCTTCCTGCTAATCCCAGGCATGAGCTTCCGGGCTGTCCCTTCTCTGCCCTTTGGTCTCGGCTTCCTTCTCCCTTCCCCTAATCGCTGAGGCCCGGGGGGTAAAAAAAGAAAACAAACCACAAAAAACAGGGCAGATACAGGCAACATGCACATTACCTCAAAAGTGGCCCTAGAGATGTCATCAAGGGGTGATAATCTAATAAGAAGTGAGTTGCGACGTCATCTGGGACCAAGGAGCCGGGGCACTAGTGTTATTCTGTACAAAGGCAGCCAGGCTGGTCCTGGCAGGAAGTAAATGACAGTTTTGAGGGACCCTGCCTCCCGTAGAAGGTGAAGGGGAGCTTGAAAGTAGCACTAGTATCAGTCAATACTTTGTTCTTGCCGAGAGGGGACATGAGGGGAAATGCAGTGACACAGCACTGAGGCAGGTAGAGTGGTTCTTGGGGTGGCCTTGGGGAAAGAGTTGGGCTGTGCTTTGCAGGACATGGTGACAGCCTTTAAGGGCAGGGCAGAGACCTGGGGCTGGCATAAAAATGCCAACCTGGAGCAGGATTTCCTACCTAGCAGTGGAAGACTGCAGTTTTCCTCCTGGCAATAATCTTTTAAAGCAATAATGCCGGCCCCTCTTCTGTAAGACTTCCCAGGGAACTGTAAATAAAAATCTCAGCTTGATCCTCAATAACGTGTCTGAAATTGTGGGGTTGGGAGGTTAGGACCTCAGTCTCGGATAGCTGGACCTCGGCTAGCTACCTGCCATTAGAAAAGCTCCAGTACTCGCTTTCTCTCCACTGACCAAGGCACCCTGTTACCCATCACTGCCCTCACTGAGGACCCAGGCCCCAAGGGCCACAGGCTTTAGAGGCCAGAGATCTGGCTCCATTGTTTGGTTGCTCTTCCCTCTGACAACTTTGCCTTTTTTTTTTTTTTTTTTAAGATTTTATTTATTTATTCATGAGAGACACAGAGAGAGGCAGGGACATAGACAGAGAGGGAGAAGCAGGCTCCCTGCAGGGAGCCTGATGTGGGAATTGATCCTGGGCCGGGGATCATGCCCTGAGCCAAAGGCAGATGCTCAACCGCTGAGCCACCCAGGTGTCCCCCCCCCCCATCGCCTTTTTTTTTTTTTTAAGATTTTATCTACTTACTCATAAGAGACACAGAGAGGGAGGCAGAGACATAGGCAGAGGGAGAAGCAGGCTCCCTACCAGGAGCCAGATGCAGGACTTGATCCCAGGACCCTGGGATCACGCCCCTGAGCTAAAGGCAGATGCTCAACCACAGAGCCACCCAGGTACCTGCCTTTGTTTTGTTTAAAGTTATATGGGTCACACTTCTTGGCCCATACTTCTCAGTTCCCTTTTCCAGATACCCACACAGACGCCAGGGAACTCTTGGGATGGTCGTCTTGTGTGGCTGAGTGGGAGGGGCCATTCTGAAGTTGAAGCCTTGGGATTTGGTGAAGGAGACATAAGCTGAAAACTGGTCTGTGGCTGAGATGATCCAGAGGGAGGGAGGGAGGGGAAAGAAAACGTGAGACCAGTGAAAGATGGGCTGTGAGGGTGGCAGAAAAGCAGACTCCAGCGGGGTTATGTCAAGATACCACCCCTTAATCTTCCCTAAAGGACTGATTTCCCTGGGACACAGAGTGGGTGGAAAGTTACAAGCTTTAAAGATCGAGACACGGGAGGATGCGCTCTGCCTTCCTTAAAATACAACCTCTCCATCTCCCTTCCACCCGTCCTTACCCTTCCTTGATCCTGAAGCTGGGAGAGCAGCGTAAAACCAATTTCCAAAAGGAGAAAAGTCAGCAGTCTGACATTTGCTGGCTGGCAACCAACTGGATCAACTAATGATACTTCCATCCACTCCTAACATCTCCCACTCGTTTTGGAAGACTGTGGAGGAAACGAGGTAAATGTGTGACTAAACTATGATTAGTTATTCTGTAACAAGCATACAAAAATTCATAAATTCAAAATAGTATTCCCTTTAAATGGTTACCTTGGAGGAATATTCTTTTAATAGATATTTCTCCTCCCAACCTCACTCATTAAAAAAAAAGTCCTCTAAGAAATTACCTTCAGAGGCTGTTTATAAAGCCTTGGTAAGAACCTTCCTTTATAGTCACACCTCATTTAACGTATTTATCACCCATCTTGTTCATTAACTTAACAAGTATTTATTTACTGAGTCCTACTGTGGTATGGCAGAGACACAGTGGTGAACAAAATCAGACTCAGAACAACCTTTGTGGAGTTTACAGATGGGAGAGACAAATAACATCGAGCAAACACATTTACATTGTCCAAAGTCCAGAAGCAAGCATGTGCTGCTTGCTACCAGTCTACAATGGCATCTGACATGGCCAGGCTGCACACTGTGGTGACGGATCAGCAGGTGTTAATAAGGTGAAAACAAGACAGTGAGGGGAAGAGTGCACTTGGAAGTTTTGTGGCAGAAGGGAACACTCACCAAAAGTCTCCAAAGCTAGAGGGTCTAAGGAGAGCATAGAAGCAGAATGGGAGATGTGGGTAATTCAGAACATACAGGACCTTATAGGGCAGTTTGGGATATTCTCTTTATCCTAAGGGCAACAGGAAACCTTCTATATTGGTTATTCAGTGATACCTACAAACCACCCTGGAAATTTAGTGGCTCAAAACAACTTTTTAAAACTAGTTTTTCTGTATGTCCTGTGGTTTGGCCAGTTCCTCTGCTCTTTTCACCTGGGCTAAATCATGTGGCTGGACTAAGCTGGCAGGTCAGTTGAGTGGGAAAGTCAGATGGCCTCACTGTACATCTGGCCATAGGCTGAGACTCCTCAGTTCTCCATGTAGCCCTGTGTGCTGGTAAATTCCCTTACGTAATAGACTCAGAGCAGTGATCCAAAGGGATGAAGGCAGAAGCTGCAAGGTCCCTGAAGGACCATGCCCCAGAACTCATACGACATCACCTCTGCCACGTTCTGTTAGTCACAGGAAGTCACAAGGCGAGCCCAGATTCAAGGATAGGGAAACACGTGGAGGCTGAGAAAAATTAAGGCCATTCCACCTCAAGTTTAGCATTAGCACAAGTACAGCCATCTTAGGTCCCTGGGAATAAGAGCTGAACTTTACAGGAAAAACTGCAGATTGTCCTAGGCAGGGAATCCCATATCGGAAAGACAATAAAGCTCAGAATGCCCTCGGCAGAGAATCCCATATCAGATCTTAAGAAACTCCCCCACCCTTTCCCCCATATTGGAATGGAAGAAATTCCTCCACCCCTTCTGAAGATCCCCTAGACCAGCCCATGCTGCAACCCGCTTCGGGGTCCAAGTCTCTGCTCTGCTGTGTGGAGTATACTTGGACCCAAGCTCGAGCTTGTAAATAAATCCTCATGTACGGGCATCGGTGTTGGCTCCTTGGTTTCTCGGATTCGCAATCTTGGGCACAACAAACAGACCCCAATTCTTGATGGAAGAAGCAGCAAAGTTGCATGGCATAGGAATTTGGGGCTACTAAACTATCACCACATTGAAAGATTTAATTTTATTTTATTATTCTTTTAAATTTATTTTTTTATTGTTGTTCAATTTGCCAACATATAGAATAACACCCAGTGCTCATCCCATCAAGTGCCCCCCTCAGTGCCTGCCACCCAGTCACCCCCACCCTCTGCCCACCTCCCTTTCTACCACCTCTAGTTTGTTTCCCAGAGTTAGGAGTCTCTCATGTTCTGTCTCCCTTTCTGATATTTCCCACTCACTTTTTCTCCTTTCCCCTTTATTCCCTTTCACTATTTTTTATATTCCCCAACATTAAAAGATTTTAAACAGGAATGGAAGTGGTGTGTGGTAGAAGCTGGTCGGGCTTGAGATCTGGAAAGATCACTGGGAGCAGTGTAGAGGGAAGCCAGCAGAAGGCCAGAATGGCCATGGACAGACTGGTGAAGAGGGTCCTACCAGGGTCTAAGCAAGAGATGATGGCAGCCTAGATTGGGATGGTGTACTGGAGGTGAAGAAGAGTAGGCGGAGCAGGGAAACATTTAGGAGGCAAGATGAACCCGGCTTGCTGAGAAGTCGGTAAGGAAGGTGACAGTGTGGGGGGTTGGTGATCAAAGATGACTTCAATTTCTAGAGCTGGGTAGATAGTGAAAGAGGTGGGAAATGCTGGAAGAGGTGCCAACTTGGGACAAGGAGACCATCACTTTGGGTTCCTGAAGACAGACAAGAAACGAAGGTCTGGAGCTCAGAGAGGCTTTGGCTGTCAAACACTTTGGGAACATCTATATAATCACATCTACCCTAAAAGTTTAAGATGTAATAATGAACCAAAGATATTAGAAGATGTGAGGACAGGGTACCTGGGTGGCTCAGTCGGTTAAGCATCAGCCTTTGGCTCAGGTCATGGTCTCATAGTCTCAGGGTCACAGGGTGGTGGGATCAAGCCCTGTGTCGGGCTTCCTGACTCATGGGGAGTCCGCTTCGTCCCTCTTCCTCTGCTCTCACCCTGCTCATTCTCTCTCTGTGTCTCAAATTTAAAACCTATAAATACATAAAGATGTGAAGAGACCTCTGAACAGCATTCCAAAGTTCCCAAAAAGTTCTGAGTTATGACAGCATCACTGGCATACGTAGATAGCTTCCCTCATGTGACCATGAAGACAATGCAACTCAGAAGTTCTGAACTATTAGCTTTCAAACAATGGTATGCCTCCTTGCAAAAGATTATCCTCTAGGGTCGTAACAATCTAGTTAAAAAACAAAATCAGCTCTGTGCTGCCTGTTAAAAGCCAGCAATGCCACGCGTGTAGAGAAGCCCACCCTGTACTGACCAAAAGAGACAGGTATGAAGAAGTGAACACAATATAGGCTGGGGACACGATAAAAACAGCGAACACATGGTGCTAGCTGGTGTAGGCCAGGCTCCATTCTGAGTACCTTGTCTCATATAAGCTCATTCGATCCTATTATTATCCACATTGTATAGAGGAGGAAACCAACCAGCCCAGAGAAGTTAGGTAACTTGCTCAGGGTGTCACAACTCCTGAGTGCTGGAAGGCTAGGATTTGAACTCCAGCCAGCTGGCCATAGAGTCTGCCCTACTGCCTCCCACCACAGAACCATGCCTACAGGTCCAGGAAAGAAGGATGAGGAGCCAGCTGGAGATAGGTGTGGTACCACAAGGGCATGTGGGCTGTGTTACGTCCTGTTTACCTGTGGGGGAAGTCAGACCCCTGAGTCAGAGCTCCAACTGGGCTGCTTTGCTGAAACCATCAGGGTGTGTGGGTGTCCGGGCCTGGCTTCTCCGGAAGGAAAGGATTCCCAGCATTCTTGGGAGGAGGGCCACCTATGGTCCTGGCATCCAAGTGCCTCCACAGGCTCAGAGGTCAGGTGAGATGTGAAGTTTGGGAATGAGTTCAGGAAGCTAGCCTCAAGAAAACGCAGGGAGGGCGCAGTGGACTGCAGCCGTGCCAATGTCCAGGGGCCCACCACAGCTTGGGCAGCCTGAGCAGCCTGGGCAGCCTGGACAGAGCCTTCCGCCGTAGGCAGTGTGTCTGGGTGGGGCTGTGATGAAGCGTAGGCCTCCGAACCAACAGGCCCGGTGGGCTGCGGGTGGCCAGGGCTGGGGCACTGCGGCAGGAGGCTGGAGACTTGCACACAGGCTCCAGGAGCACCGGCTCGGGGCTCGGGGACGACGAGGGAAGGCGCGAGGGGCCGCGCGGGGCCGTGCACTACCCCGGACGCCTACTCCGCTCAGTGAGCTCTGGCTCAGTGAGCTCTGGCGTCGGGGGCATCCCAGGCCTCGGGCCTCCCCGCCCCCACGCGTGCCTCGACGGGGAGCGGCGCGACGGCGTGACTCCTCGAGGGGCGGGCTCTCGCTCTTAAAAGGGGCCCGAGGCAGCGGCGCCCGCCCCAAGAGCTGACCCAGCCGTGGGGCGAGCGGCCCGTCCCGTCCAGCGAGTGCGCGCCGGGCACCATGCAGCTCTTGGTGAGGGTGCCGTCCGTCCCGGAGCGGGGCGAGCTGGACTGCAGCATCTGCTACCGGCCCTTCAACCTCGCGGGCCGCGCGCCCCGCCGCCTGCCCGGGACGGCGCGCGCCCGCTGCGGCCACACGCTCTGCACCGCGTGCTTGCGCGAGCTGGCGGCGCGCGGCGACGGCGGCGGGGCGGCCGCGCGCGTGGTGCGCCTGCGCCGCGCCGTCACGTGCCCATTCTGCCGCGCGCCAACGCCGCTTCCGCGCGGCCGGGTCACGGAGGTCTCCGTGGACCGGGACTTGTGGTCGCGGCTGGAGGAGAGCGCGCGGGCCGAGCGCAAGCAGGATGAGGCGGGAGGCCCTGTGCCGGGAGGCGGCGACGCCCACGACGGAGACGAGAGCGACGAGGAGGCGGGACCCAAGAGCGCGGGCTGGCGCGCGTTGCGGCGGCTGTGGGAGCGGGTACTGGCGCCTGCGCGCCGCTGGCGGCGGCCGCTGCCTAGCAACGGTAAGGGGCCGGGGCCGGGGGGCTTGAAGGCGGGAGGGCAAGGCGGGCCGCCGGGGGACTTTGGAGGGCCGGGGTACCCGGGATCGCCAGGGGAGGCTTCCGGGATCGGAGTGTGGGGGGATGCCTGGGATCGCCGTGGGGAGGCTTTGGGGTCGGGGTGTAGGGGAGCGCCCGGGATCGCCAGAGGAGGCCGTGGGGTGTGTGTGTGTGGGCGCCCTAGGTCGGCAGGGGAGGCTGCGGGGACCGGGGCGGGGGGGGGGGTGCTTGGAGCACTCGAAGCTTTCGGGGTAGGAGTGCAGGAGGCGGGGGAGGGGAGGAGGAGGCTGTGGGGACCGGGTGCGTGGGAAGCGACCCAGAATGCTTTTGGGGTCGAGGTGCAGGGGGGCGCTTGGGGTCGCCGGGGGAGGCCGTGGGGTGTGTGTGCGGCGCCTGGTTTTGCCGGGGCAGGCAGCGAGGGGCGCGGTTGGGATGGGAGCGTCTGGGATCGCCAGCGCTGCCCCATGCCCCGCCGACACTGACCCTCCCTCTCTCCCCCAGTGCTGTACTGTCCGGAGATGAAGGACCTGGCCCGCATGAGCCCATGCACGCTGTGACCACGGAGCCCGGTGGGCGCTGCATTCTCGGGGCGTGCTGGAGTGCAGGGGTGATGACAAGGCCACCCAGTGCCCATCCGGGGAATGGCGCTGCTGCAAGAGTTGAACCTAGGGCAGGAGGGGCCACCCTAGCCAATGGCCCCCTCCCATGTACCGGCTGGACCAGCCTCGCCAGTCTTGTGTCTTCAGGGGAAGAGGCCCGGAGATGGTGGAGACGGGTCCTCATTCCCGTGAGAAGGACAGAGTGTGTCCCTAGCTGTGACTCTGGCTTTTGTCCAGGGCAGCTCTGGGCAGTGGGAACAAAGGCCTCTTCTAGCAATTCTGTTAGTGGTTTGAAATTTTTTTTAAAGATAGAACATGAGAAGAGGCTGATTTTTGTGTCATGTTAATGTCACTTCTGTGGCAGGTTAGAGAACTGAGAAAAAAATTTTTTTTGCAGTGCTGGTATGCCTGTCTCCCCAGACCTAGTAGTGTGTTCCTAAAATTATTGAGATGCCTCTGTGCCTCGCTTCATTTCACAATCTCCCTTCAACCTGTGAGGGCAGGTATCACAAGGTCCAGAGGGCATTCATCTGAAGCACCTAATTGGGGCCTATCAGGGATAGGAAAGCCATTTGGTATCACATTTTAATCTTTTGATATTATCTATATAATCACAGGGAAAGCATTGTTATTATGGAAAAAGATGCGTATCATACAGATTTTTTTTCTTTTTTTAGAGTGAGCACAGGGGCAGGTACAGAGAGAAAGTGAGAGGAGCTCAGGCAGGCTCTCTGCTGAGCTGGAGCCGGACTCGGAGCTTAATGTCACAACCCTGAGATCATGACCGAAGCTGAAACCAAGAGTCAAAAGCTTGACCCACTCAGCCACCTTCCACCCAGGTACCTGTCATCCTCCAATTTTAAATTTGTGCTCCTTACTTGGACATCTCCTACTGTAATGCCATGGATTCTATTTTAAAATCCTATAAACATGTCAATGTAGTTATAGTTTTAGTCTAGGAGCCGCAGCAGCATCACTGCAATTATAAGATCTCAGGATCCCACTTCAGACTCCTCTGAGTTTTCACAATAATCCCAGGTGATCTGTGTGCACATAAACATTTAAGCATCACTGATTCAGGTCCTGGACTTGCTGGGATGTCACCTTCTGTGGGTAGTATATTTAACACTAGTTGGTATAAAGGATATAAACTCTATTGGAAGTTGTAAAGGACGTTCTGTTGCTAAAGAAATCTGTATGTGTGTGTGGCTTATTTATTGTGTGACCTTTTCCTGAATTACAAATGTGAATTTATGAAATATAAACTTCAATTTTTATAACCATATTTTGGTATTTTTCCTGTGCTTTGTCTCAACATCGATGTTCCCTCTTTGGGGAGAACTTTCTCAGTATTCCACGGAGTGTGGCCCCTTCCCTCACAGGTCCTGTTACAGAATGAATGCCTTGTTTTATAACCCGATAGCATGTGTTTTGTGGGCAGAAGCTCCATGATCTCCGGGACAAATAGTAGTGTTTCACATGTAGTATGTACTTAATAAACATTTGTTGGATTTAGCTTTTTTGATACACTAGCCCCTAAAACTAAGTGTCTGGTCCGAACCCTTGAGAAGCTCTGGTAGTGAACATCACGTGTCAAGGAAGTGTCTAGCAGCTCACATCTTGGGCAAGTATGACCCCCCAACTCTACAAAAAAACAGCATGCTACTTGGAACCGAACCTGTGGAGCTGTACTGACCTCTACTGACTCTTGGGGGAACTAGGCAACTAGGTGGAGGAAAAGATGATCAGACAAGGCCAAAAGGGAGGCAGCTAAGAATCCTGCCAGGCACCCTCCCCCTTTTCACCTCTGCCTCGTGAGCCCCACCATGTTTCTGATCTCAGCCCTGGTGACTGGGTATCCTGCTGCTCCCTCCAACTCTACACTGAGTTCTTCACATTGGGGTTTGATGATCCAAGAAAAAAAACAGGAAGTCACAAGATTAAAAAAGAGAGATGGGTAAGGGGGAATGGCAGAAAGCAATACCCTTTCTTTCCTTATCCGCCCCACCACCAAGAACTCCCCCCCCCAAAAAAAATAACAGAGCACACAGAAAGGAAAGTATAATTTATATGTACAACCAATACACCTGATACAGAAGAGGGGATTGGGACAGCCCAGGAGTGGGTGCCAAGAGACCGGGAAAGGGGCAGTGGAGGGGAAGTGGGGGGTTCGCCATGCAAACTGCCACTCTCCCCAGCCCCTCCTGGGGAGGAGGACGTGCCCACGTCTCCCCAGCCTGCCCTCCACTACTTTGTTCTGGTCCCAAAGGCAAGGGAGTCCCCCAGTTAGGCCTCCCTGCCTGGTCCATTCAAAATTCAGTCAGTATCTAGGCCTTGGCGGGGAGGGAGGCGGGGGTAGGATAAAAGTGCTCCCAGAACCTGAGCCCCAGAGCTGGGGCTCCCTCACATCTGGCCTGTAGCATTTTCTCCCACCCTTTCTAGATTACCCGGTCCCTAGAACAGATTGAGGAGCTCCTCTTTGGCTTGAGGGAGTATCACCCAACCATCACTCTCTTGGGGGCGGGGTGGTGGTGGTGGTCCTTGGTCCCTAGGGAGAGGGAAGAGTCCCAACACAAGATGCCGGTACGCAGGAGGTAACTGAGCCAGTGAATGGCGCCTTTATTCGGAGGCTGAACAGCAACCTATTCCCTCCCTTATAACTGCTCCTCCCTCCTTTTGGGAAGAGGTAAGGGGAAGGAAACATGCAGCCACCCCTCTTCTTCCCTTCCTCCCTCTCTGAAGTCCCCCCTCCTCTCTTCAAAGCTCTTTGCCCCAACCAAGTTCCTAAGGTCCAGGCCAGGCTAATCCCCCAGGGCTGTAGATGGAGCTCAGCTGTAGATGGAGCTCGTATTGCAGGAGTAGAGACCCGGGGAGGCTCCACCGCTTTCCTCCCTCCACAACCACTTACTGGGAAGCTGTGTGTGTTTGGTGTGGGGGATAAAGATACTTGGAAGACCCTGCTCACCGCCCCCCACCCAGACCTCTTCTCACCAGCACAGGCTTCAAAGCGTGGTGGGAAAGGTGCACGGGAGTGGAGAGAGACAAGGGGCCCTTCCCGAAAAGAGGAGTTGTAGAGAGAGGCAGAGGGGCTCCTAGCCCAGAGGTGGCCCATGGGGTGGGGAAGGTGGAGGATTGGCAGCAGGTCCCAGAGCCTGAGCTGGGGGTCGACCTCGGGCACGGGGCCTGGGCGATGGGCAGGCCTGGGATCCAGTCAGTCGTCTATACAGATCACCTCCCCGGCTCGGGGCTCCTTCCGATCCAGCCCGTCTGACACCAGTGCCCCCACCATTTCCTTCTCCTTCTTCACCAGCACTGGAGGGCCGTTGGTGGCGGCTGTTAGGGAAGGGGGTAAGGAAGTGAATCCCGGACTCACTTCTAAACATCACCTCCTGTGCATAGCATAGTACTGTTAGGTTGTCTCCTGCCACTTTTCCATTCCTGGGGTAGCAGGAGTGGGAAAGACCAGGGTGAACCCCTCTCCCTGAGGGTCCCCCTGTGCCTGTGATAGATCCCATGTGCCAACTCTCACCATACCCCCCTCCTGATCTCATATTCTCTTTCCTGGGGGCAACCCAGATGGAGGAGGCTTAGGAAAAAGGTACCAGCCATACAGCCACTGACACCCTTGGGGCATTTTGGATGAGAAGAATGGTAGAGAAGTCAGGGCTGCGAAGAACAAAGCCCAGAACAACTCTGTTCCCTAGAACCGTTGATACTTATAAGGAAGTGACATAGGCTGGAAAGATAAAGGGCGGCTGAGTGGGGTTGAAGCTTGGAAAAGAGAGCTGGGAAAGGCAGAGAGTGAGAAGTCATCACCTGACCTGTGATGAAGGACCCGGCAGGCATCTGGCTGTAGTTGGCGCCTGCGGCGGCCAGGGCCCCGACGGGTGCGGCGCTGAAGGCCGCCCCGTACCCCGGAGGTGTAGCGTAGGGCCCCGGGGGAAAGGCCTGGAAGAGAGAAGAGAGCAGGCCCACGTCAGAGGCTCCAGAGTCTGTGAGAGGAAGAAACTTAGGGGAAACTGGGGCCAGGCTCCAGAACTACCACGACTGTAACGTACAGGCAGGGACACTGGATGGTGAGGAATGTGTCGGAGCAAGTCTCCACACTAAGGTGCTGGGAATGTGTGTGGGCGTGCACATGCATGTGTGTACAGAAGGAGGACTTTCAGGGACAACTAGAGTTAGGGGGAGGAGGGTTACCGGTGTGGGGTGAGGCTCCGTGCCCTTGCTGGCCAGCCGGCTGAGAATGCTGCGCTCGGACATCTGAAGGCGGGCTGCGATGGGGGGGATTCGGGACAGCGTGGCTGGCAGGCGGGTCACGTCCGCCTTCATGTCGCTCAGCAACTCCTCCAGCTGGTTCAGAACTGGGGCCCGGGCCACAGAGAAAGAAGGGCAAGAGAAAGACAGGGAAAAGGAGAGATGGAGCCAGGAAAAGAAAAGGAGTCAGATGGACAGACACAGTCAGAAAAGGAGAGAGAGAGAGAGAGAGAGGAGAGAGAGAGAGAGAGAGAGAGGGGAGAGAGAGGAGCACACAGATGTCAAAGAACCAGAGGCCAAGAAAATGCCAGAAGGAGGCAGAAAAAGTGACTCGGGGCAGAGGGGGTAGAAAGAAGAGGCAGGTGAAGAGGCAGAGACCAGATAAGCAGAGGATAGACAGAGAAAGAGGACAGGACAGGACACGGGAGGCGGGGGGGACATTGGGAGACATGGGGCGGGGAGTTGTCAGAACATCCCATATTGCCAGAGTGACGTTTAGGGGGTGGGGATGACGGGGAGGAAATAGGAGATATGGGAGGAGGTAAGTGGTGTCAAAGATTCCAGAAGTCAGGGTTTTAATATGTGAGGGGGAGGGAGGTTAGATGGTCAGCATCACAGATTCAGGGAATTAGAACAGGAATCAAAGGGGCCGGGAGTCAAGTCACTAGTCAGACAGGATTAGGTTGTTAGAGGGCTCTGGAGATCAATCTATCGTCATCAGGATAAGAGGGTTTGGGAGGAAGGGTTGGGGGTCACAGGGAAGTTTCAGGGGGTAGGGTCACGGGGGTGAGATGGGGGGGTAGTTTCTGCCTGGTGGGGCAAGTGAGATGGGGGGATGTGATTTGCAGGATGGGGGTAAGGATCTAGGAGGGGTCTATACGCAGGCCACGGCCCCGGAGAGGGTGCTACTAGCAGTATGGCAGGCGTGTGGGTCAACGAAGTTCCGCCCTGTGGAGGGGACGTGGCACAGTCTCACGGAGTCTGGGGAAGGGGGGGGGAAGGTCCCTCTACCGGGCACTGGCATGAACACTCTTAGGTATAGACAAGGGCAGCCTTGCACAAACCCAAGAGGCTAAAAACCACGGGGTGGCCGGGTGGGTTGGGTTGGGGTGGGGTCAGAGGGGGGTGGTTCAGAGGGAAAGGGGTCAGAAGGGTGGGAAGATTTTGAGGGGTGCGGGGTGAAGACTTACGCAGCGTTGTGGGCCCTCCCCCGCGCGGGGCCGCCGCGGCCCTTACCCTTGTGCAGGACGGCGTTGGCCGGCTTGTTCCCCGCCAGCGACTCCTTGGAGAGGTGCTGGTGGCTCTCGGCCAGGCATTCGGCCTCGGCGAAGCGGGCGTGGAGGGCCATGGCGGGGTGCGCCGGCTCCTGCGATAGGTTCAGGTAGGCCGCCCGCCGAAGCTGCTCCTCGATCACCAGCGCCTGCTCCAGGAGCTGAGGGCACAGGGGTGGGGGTGAGTGCGGGCATCTGCCAGCCGTGGGGGCCCAATACCCGTACTGCCCTTCCTGCCCACCCATCCTAAGGGTGGACCTGGCACAGACCTCAATCTGCACCATCCCAGACACAGGGTACACCCCGCTCTTGGCCTCAGGCACCTTCCCTCCATTCCAACCACCCCTGGTCCCACCTCTGACCCAAGCTCTCCACCTCGACGCTGTTCCTCCTCTCTCTGATCCCCACCTTGAATCTCCGGGCCAGGAACTTATTTTTCATCTCCAGAAAGTTCCCCTTATTGGCTTCAGTTTTAAATGGCTCATTGATAATGGCAAACTGAGCATCATTCTGGATGTCCTGCCACCGTGCATAGCCATGGCTGCGACGCAGGAAGGAGACGTCAAGGAATTTAATAGGAGAATTTTACACTGTGACATAAACACTTCCTCCTGACTCGATCTCCCGAGTGAGGCACAACTCCCCCCTTCCCTGGGTGTGGACTCATCCCCGTTCCAGGTTAAGAAAACCACTTCTTTCTTGTGTTTGTATCAAAGGATACAGGACAATCCCAGCCAGAAGCCAATAGTCATGTCTTCGGTGCCAGATCTCATTGAGTTTTCCTGAGGAAATAGCTGCCCGTTCCTCATTCTGCCACAGCGTGTGAAGCTCTGAAAAGCGGACCACAGGGGGAGGGCTGTCAGGAGTTTGGGAACCACTGCCAGCTCAACAGATGGGCAGAGATGAGGGACCTGAACAGTGGGAAAGGACTCTTTAGGAGAAAAGGGAAAGGTTAGGTTCAGGATGAGGGGCAAAGTGCTTAAAATAAGGTTCCAGCTCGGACTAGGAATAAAGGGGGATAAAAGACGCTCTGGAGGTAGGGGTGCGGCCACGGAGGCCTGCAGGCTGGGGAGGGATTGGAGGCAACACAGCAGGCGGTGCTCCAAGGGCAGCTACTTGGATGGAAGGCAGCAGAAGGCCTCAGGCAGAGCGAGAAGACTCAGGAGGGGGAGCACACCTCAAGTGAGGAGCCCACCTCAAGTGAGGAGCCCAGGGGGGCAAGCACAACCCAGCAAGGGGCCCCCACCTGTGAAGCCTCCATCTGCGATATTGAACATGAACCGAGGCTTCTCTGCCTTCTCCTCGCGCCGCCCATTGGGCCGTGGCTCGTCCCGGGGAGGGCCAGGTCGCAGCTCCCGGTCCCCTTTCACATCTTCTGCTAGGACAGACGAGGCAGAGCTCACATCTGCCACCAGCCTCTGCCAGCCCCAAAGACTACCCTGTACTGGACTGTCCCTCGAACAACTACCCCCCAGGACCCAGGCATCTGTGCCCCCAGACTCCACCTCCCGATTCCCTTGGGGACCCAGTGCTTCCACCCATTACCTCTCTTGCCCAAATCCCCTGTTTCCCCCTCCGGCCTCTCCCTGTGCTCCTGTCCATCCAACGGCTTCTCCTCCCCCCTCTCTCCTGGCGTCGACTCTGTGGCTGTGGGAGGGGGTGGGGGACAGGAAGGGAGGATGTCACCCTCATCCCCTGACCCCAGAAGAGGGAACTGCTGGATCCTAAGCCCCTCATTGTCCCTAAGCCCATGCACCCACCTGACTTCTCTCTGTCCCCCCGGTACCCAGGTTCAGGCTCCATTTCTCCAGGCACTCCTGGCACCTCCTCCTCTAGAGAAATCTTCCTTGGCTCCAGCCGCTCCCCGAGTGATGGGGCTGGGCTAGGGGCATCGGCCTAGAAGATGACCGTGGAGTTAGGATGGGGCACAGAGATCCCAAGCACCCGGCCTTCACTCTCTCCCCTCCCAGGGAGTCAGGGAGCCACGAACCTCTGTCTCTATCTTCTCCCCAGTTCTGTTCTTCTCAGGCTTCTCCTCCTGGTTTTCTACTTCATCCTTTTCAAGAGGTGTCCTCGAGCCATCTCCCTTTTCACTTGGAGCTGGAGTAGCTGCGGGGGGAGGCAGAGTGAGGAAGCAGAAAGACCCACCCTGACTCCTATGTTTGCAGGGCACTGACCCCACCCCCACCTCTCCTGTCATCCTGATCCTTGTTACCAGGTTTAGAAGTGCAAGGACTGTTGGTGGCAGAGGCCTCAGGGGTGGTGGGAGACGTTTTGGTAGGAGAGGAGGCTCTAGAGGAACGCTTAGAGTCAGCACTGGGATCAGGCATCAGCTCAGGCATCGACCAGCGTCCATTGATGTGTTCAAACTCCTGTACCTGAGGGAGACAGGGGGGCATAAGGACGGGTCAGCTGCGGGCCCTGGAGGGGGCAGGTCGGCTGCAGGCAGTGCACATACAGGAAGCTCAGTCTTGTGTCCCCAGCCTGACTCCAGAACTGAGCAGTGCTAGGCAGAGGGGGGACGGGGACTAGGTGGCCAGTCTGACGCAGGCCAGAAAGATGGATACCTTCTTCTTGACAAGAGACATGACTCCAATTCGGGTTAGCACTTGCTGGCGACTCAGGCCCTCCCGAGGAACGCCGTCAGCAAATGTTTCAGAGCCGTCTGCCCCGGGCTCACAGAGATGGCGCATGAACAGAGACACGTAGGCCCTGAGAGGCGTGGGGCGGAATACAGGTTAGGAGGGGGCACAGGGCTTACCGAAGCCCTCAACCCTTCAACTCCGCAGGTGCCTCCATGGCTCCTCCTAGGGATGAACCCTCCACATCCCCACTCCCACCTCAGCCCCCCCACTCCCCGCATCTCCAAGGCCCTCGGCTGCCAGGCCCCATCAGTCAGCACATCATCCTGTCCACTGGCTCCAGGCCGAGAAAATGTGAGGCCAGGACAGGCCCAGGGCAGGGCTCCCATCTCCAGCGCCTCTCCCGTAGTCGGGGGGCCAGGCCTCTGTGCTCTAGGCTCGGCTGAGGGGACATGGGGCGCACTGAGCCCACGCCCCAGGAAACCAAGCCATGCGATGCCCCACATTGCCATGTGGCTAGGAGCGCGGTGATCAGTTGAGTAAGGTCACATCATGTGGTGGCCGAGCGAGCACAAGACAGGAAGACCCAAGGCTCCCTCCCAACCCCTCTGGCCAGCTGGGCCTGAGGCACCCACACTTACTTGAACTCCTTCTCCGTCTTTCCCCTCAGGTCCCGCACCAGCCACTGTGTGGTGAAGGCATCCTGCGGGGGCATCCCCCAGCGCATCACGGCATTGAGGAAGGCCTTCCGCTGCCGGGTGTTAAAGCCCAGCACCTGTGGAGTGGGGTGGGGGAGAGCATGAGCCATGGGTGTCCTGGGGTCTCTCTGCTGGGCCCCCCCAGGGGACAAACGGGGGCCTGAGCCCAGCTCCCACCTCAATATTGCCCCCAACTCGAGCCAGCAGCGGAGGCAGTGGTTTATCCTTCTCATTCCGGAGCTGCCTCTTTGACTGTCGACGCCCTGGGTGTGTATGGGGGGGATTGGCCTGGTTAGTGGGGGGCCCCATCTCCCCCAACCCTCAGTCCTTCTCCGCACCCCACGCCCCCAGGAGGCAGAACCCTGGGTCACATCTGAGCCACTTCTAATTTTCTTTTAAGCACTTTCTGACCTAGCAACCGAGCGGATCTAGGAGAAGCCGGTCCCATTAAAAGCACTAGTACCAAGACCAGCCCGTGAGGATGTAAAACATAAACTCTCGATTTTCCTCTAGGCAACTAAGCCTCTGTGATCCTACACTCCAAATTTTAACAGTAGAGAAATTACATATGTCTTGCACTTTTAGCTTATCTGTGACCTTTAGCTCATCTACACAAAAGCACTTGTCTGTAGAAAAGCAGGAGATGAAACATGTCGTGAGGCGAATGGGAAGAGCTGTAGCTCTTCCTCTGAAAATGAGGAAATCAGATGTCACCTTCTGGACGCTCATCAAAGTCTTCGTCTTCTTCCTCTGATCCCACTGAGTATTCAGACTGGTTATCTGTGGGGAGACGGCTCAATGGTCAGGGACAGCTCCTGCGCTAAGCCCACACGGGGGCCCTTCCTGCCTGGAGGCCTCCTGGGGATGCCGTCGGACTCCAGGGCCACATACCCTGCACAGGGCACACTCGTCACTCACCTGGTCCCTGGGCACCTCCCGACCCCCACACATCTTGTGCCAAGTGAGGACCCTGGGTGTCCAGCGGGCCCCCCTCTGCAGCCACCAGCCGGCTGAAACCATCTGCGAGACCCTCCAGCCTCCAGGCAGCTCCTTCCCCCTCAGCAGGAAAGGCCCTGACCCCTAGGCCTCCCTCTTTCCCTTGAAACGCCCTCCAGGCTCCAGGCTCCCTGTCAGCACTCCTGCCTTTCCTGATCCTCCCTCTTGGGCAGTCCTCACCTTGGTCTTCCTGAGCAGCATCGTTGTAGTTGACCTGTTTGCGAACCCGCTTGCCTTTGCCCAGGTTCCGGGCCAGGTCCTCCTGCTGCTGCTCATAGTGATGCCTCAAGAGCTTCTCCCAGTAGTCGGGGTCCACATTCTCCTCCTGCTTGATGATCTCCCGTTCGATCTCCTCAATCTGGAAGGCAGCACAACACATGCTGGCAACTTCCCTCTGCCACCCGGGGCTCTCACCACAACCAAATTCCAACTCCCCTGCTGCTCAGTCTCATCAAGGCTGCGTGAATATTCTGGATGTTGCCCATCTTCCTTGCCTCTTACCTGCAACGTACTTCTCCTCTCTGCTCCCTGAATCTTCCCTGGAACCTTCCTCTAGCACCCTCCACATCCCTCCCACTCTGACTCCTAGGCACCCACTTAGGTTCTTCTTAAAGCCTGGTTTCACCTATCAGACCCTTACTGCCTTTTGTTGGGTACTATGGTAAGAGATAGGGTCAAAAATGAGAACAAAGAGGGATCCTCGCCCCTCGAGGTCCAACAAAAGACACTGTTCTTCTGAGGTGGTCCAGGATAGAGCATCTGGTCCCCAGTCTCTCACCTTGTCTTCCTCCCGCACCACATACTGGGCCACCTTGAAGGAGCTGAGATACTCATTCATGTTCTGCACGTCTGTGTCCTCTGTTGCATCCTGGTTCCGGTCCAACAGCCGAGCGATGGCCTCGTTGTCATAGTGAATAACACTGCTGTCCTCCTCCTTGTTCTCCCCTGGTGGAGATAGGGAATGAGAGGGGACTCTGAGTTCCAACCAGAATCTGGCGCAACTGGACAGAGGTCTGGGGGAGAAGGCCCTTTCCCAGGGAGTCCACGGACACGTGCTGGGGCTTCCAAACATCCACGCAAGAGAAGAGACCCCCTTTCCCCCGAGGGCCGCATGGGAAAGTTTTTATTCTGGAGCTTCCGAAATAAGTGTGTCCAGGAGAGCAGGTTCTCACCCTCATTTTCGTCCTTGAACAGCTCCTCAGTGCCAAATTTGAGGATGTCATCCAGCTCCTGCTTGGACATGGAGCCCGCCTTGGAGCCTAGCCCAGGCCGTACCACCAGATGCGTCAGCATCATCTTCCTCTTGGCTACTTGCGTGATTCGCTCTTCCACGGATGCACGGGTCACAAACCGGTAAATCATCACCTTGTTGGCCTGGCCGATCCGATGAGCGCGGCTGAAGGCCTGAGGGGAAAAGGAAGAAGTGGGGATGGACCAGGGGACATGCGGCCCACGTGCTGGGGAAAAGAGGCTCTTCTACCCCCCGGGACACAACTCCCTCCACTGTGAACCCATGTCTCCCTGCTAATTGGTACACGGGCTTTCGGAGGTGAGCTCCCACCTGGATGTCGTTATGGGGATTCCAGTCAGAATCGAAGATGATGACCGTGTCGGCGGTGGCCAGATTGATGCCCAGGCCTCCAGCTCGGGTAGACAGCAGGAAGCAGAACTGCTGCGCCCCGGGAGCTAGGAGGGGACAAGATTATGCAATGGTTCTGTGCAGCTGGTACCAGACACCCTGAGCGACAACCGTATCACCAACTCAGAAGCTAGGAGGCACATATCCTCCTGTACCAGGGGACCTAGCACAAGTGGCTCGGGCCTTGCACACCCAGCAGGGACCAGGGCTTCTCCTCCTCACCATTGAACCGATCGATAGCCTCCTGCCTCAGAGCGCCTGTGATGCCACCGTCGATGCGCTCATACTTGTACCCTTCGTAGTCTAGAAAGTCTTCTAGCAGGTCCAACATCTTGGTCATCTACAGAGAGAGAACCACAGAGTTCTCTGGAATGACGAGGCAGTGGGACAGGCCCAGTCTGTACTGACCATCTATCTCACCATCGTCCTCAGATGCCATGCCTCCCCAGTGCTGCTCCCCCTCCTCACCCCACACTCTTATCACACTCGCTTGACTTAGGGTCACTTCTCCTAAAGCAGAGGTTCTCTTCTGAGACCTATGAGAATGTTTCAGGGACATCTCCAAATGCCCTGAAACTTTACGAAATTGTCTGTGTGGCTTTCCTCAGATTTCCAAGAGCTCTGAGCCCTCCTCTCTCTCCCGTGGTTAAGAAACAGGAAGGGTCCCACAGGCCACCCTCAGGCGACACGTGATTACACGTGGAGTGGCTCACCCTTGCCCTGCTCCCCATTTCCAAGAAGCTGGCCTGCAACCTCCCATGACTTTAACTAATAATGGGGGTCCGCCGGCCCAGAACCTCTCAAGACTGCCACCACTTGACCTCTCACACCACGGCAGCCACAGAAACAAGGGAAGGGCCTGGCCCCAGAGGCGACACAAGGTGAGGGGTACAAGTCACCTGAGAGAAGATGAGGACTCTGTGTCCTTGCTCCTTCAGCTTGCGGAGCATCTTCTGCAGGAGCATTAGCTTGCCAGATGCCTTAATAAGTGCCCCACCTTCGTAGGCCCCACTGGGGAGTTTGGGGGACTCCTGCAAAGAAGAGAGCAGAGAGGAGAGGGTCAGAGAATGCACCCCCATGTTTGGACCAAGCCCAGAAAGCCAGGAGCCAAAACCCAGCCTCCAGCCCCTTTTTTTTTTTTTAATAAATTAATTTTTATTGGTGTTCAATTTACCAACATACAGAATAACACCCAGTGCTCATCCCATCAAGTGTCCCCCTCCGTGCCCGTCACCCATTCACCCCCACCCCCCGCCCTCCTCCCCTTCCATCATTTCCCAGAGTTAGAAGTCTTTATGTTCTGTGTCCCTTTCTGATATCTCCCACACATTTCTTCTCCCTTCCCTTACATTCCCCTTCACTATTATTCATATTCCCCAAATGAATGAGAACATACACTGTTTGTCCTTCTCCGATTGACTTACTTCACTCAGCATAATACCCTCCAGTTCCATCCACGTTGAAGCAAATGGTGGGTATTTGTCGTTTCTAATGGCTGAGTAAGGCCTCCAGCCCTTTTAACTGCCCACTCGTCTGGGGGATCCCATGCCTAGACCCCTGCCCCCTGCCCAGCTCCATGCCTGCCTTGGCTCCTCCCACCCCCCATTTTCAGAGAGCAGCACAGCGGCAGCCCCCAGCTCATGCATCACCATAGCAGCCACGGGGAAGAGGTAGGGATGGTTGCAGCACTTCTTAAGATCCATCATGATGTTGAGCAGCGACACTTGGTTCCCACCACCTCGCGAATTCAAGGCCTCAAAGTTCCGAGTCAGGATGTACTTGTAGTATTTCCTAAAGACCAGGGTGGGGGCGCGGAAGAGACAGAGAAAGGAAGTGGTGATGAGGCCACTGCACCCCCAACCAAGCCCCCAGTCCAGGTCACCCTGCTCTCATCTCACTTCTGCATGGGGCTCAGCTCCACCCGAACAATGAGCTCTGTCTTGGCTGGCATGTTCTTGAAGACATCAGCCTTGAGCCTCCGCAGCATGTGCGGCCCCAGCAAATCGTGCAGTTTCTTAATCTGGTCTTCTTTGGATATATCAGCAAATTCCTCCAGGAAGCCTTCCAGGTTGCTGGCAGCCAGGAGGAGATAAGGAACTGAACAGGCTGTCGGGGTGTTTTTCCCCTGGCCTGGGGCTCCCTTCCTCACTTGGTGGAA